AGGGGAGAAGCACATTGGCTGTACAGGAAGTGAGGACCCTGCCTACAGTCATGTTAGTAGAAAGTGGCACTCTCAGGATTTGAACCTGGACTCTTCGGCCCCGGTCTGTGCTTGCTCTTAACCACTTTGCTAGAGGAGTACCTGCTAACCAGCTACTTCTTCTTGGACATGGCACACATATGGCATTCCAAGCTGTCATAGCTCTAGAAAGTGTGCTTCATCATCCTCATCTTAGGGGAAGGCTCCCCTCACCAGCAAATGGTGAAGGCAGAATTCAAATGTAGATCTGTCTTAGGAAAACCTTTTGTTCTTCCCAAAGTAACAAAATCTTTAGGAGATAATCCTGAATACCTTTCTAAAGGATCAGCTTAACCTTCTATCTAAACTTTACATAGCTTTTAGCAATCCAATCTTTCTTTCTTTTCTTTTGAGACAAGGTTTTGCTATGTAGTTCAGGCTGGCCTCGCTTGCATGGTGATCCTCCTGCCTCAGCCTCCCAAGTGCTGGGATAACGGACATGCACCACCAGGGTCAATTTAGTAATCTAATCTTAATGTCAAAAATCATACTTTAAAAACAAGAGGGAGGAAGGGAATGGAGGGGAGAGGAATAAAAAAATAATTAAGACATATCACGTACCAGCTCCCCATGAGGAATATCATCTAAATTATAGTAATATGTGACTGCCGTTCAAGTTGAGTAAGCAACACTCAATTGAGGAGTCTAGCACAGCTCAGTGTGGCTAAAGGATTACTACAGCGGGAAGACCACCCTGGGTGTAAGTGCCACCAACAAGTACATCACCAGAATAAAATAAAAAGGGGAAAGAAGGGAGGCTTATTCCTGTTTTTCTTTGGAGGAGCTCCAGGTCCGGCCTTCACCCAGGACATCTACCCTGGCTTTCATTGCAGGCTTGTCAGCCACTTGTTGCAGTCCTTCCACTCCCTGATAGACCTGCATGGAATGCTACAGTGAGCAGCAGTTGTTCAGCTTTTGACTGGATCCTTAGGGTCTCTAGGGTGCAGACAGCCCTTCTGTATACTTTCATACCTGACTTTGCAGGTGGCCACTATAAGCTTACCTTGTAAATCTGTCTGTCTGTCTGTCTGGTCTATATTAAATGTTTCGCTAGTGAGCACAAGCTGATTCAGTTATGTACTGCAAGGGCCGGTCAAATAGCTCAGCGGATTAAATCACCTGCAAGCAGGCACAGAGGCTGGGGATTTGATCCCCAGGCCTGCCATGCTGGCCCCTCCCCCAGGACCCACTGAGACAGCAATAGAGACTGGGCGTGGTGGGGCCCACCTGTAATCCCAGCATTTGGGAGGCTGTAAACAGGAGGATCACTACGAGTCTGATCTAGTAGTGAGACCCTGAACACCCTGTAGACCCTTCCCTAAAATTCAGGGAGAAAAATTATGTACTACAAACATTTAAAAAATAAAATAAACAGGGGCTGGTGAGATGCCTCAGTGGTCTAAAGCACCTACTTAGAACAAGTTTAGCAAAGCACAAGGACCGCAGTTCAATCCCCCAGCACCACATGCCAGCCAGCCCCGCCCCCTGGTGGGCTGAGCTGGCCACACACACACACACACACACACACATAAATAAAACAAATAAAATAAAATAAACAAATAATAGTAATAAGTAATTTTTAATTGAGTGCTGTATATGTTCACTAATTCTAACAACAAACCCATAAGGGCTTACCTACTGGGAGTTTAGATGTTCTCATCATATATGTTATCAAATGAGTGCATTATTTTAAAGGGAATATCATTACTCTTATCCCAAAGGAAACAAGAGCACATAAAATTAAAACCCTGTCAGTACTAAAACATATTTCCTACCTTATTCACAGTTTCTCTGAAACCTAAAAGTAAAAAAAAAAAAAAAAAAAATTTTATATGGCTCAAAGATGAAAAACTTGGGGCAGGGGAGATAGCTCAGTGGTCTAAGCACCTACCTGGCAAGCACAAGGACCTGGGTTGGATCCCTGGTACTGCATACTGTGCCTGCCCCAGAACCTGGGGCACACTGACCTGCCACCAAAACCGGGATGGTGGCATATACTTGTTGTCCCAGTGCTGGGGAGGTTCAGACAGGAGGGTCACTATGAGTCCAAGCTGTACATTAAGACTCTGTACCAAATAAATAAAAGATTTTTTTAAAAAAGATGAAAAACTTTTCTACATATTTGAAACCTGCCTTTGATTGAAGAACCCATGAAATGGAATTTTTGGCTTGAAAATGTCAAAATCCTTGAAAATGGAAACTACCATATCATTTGTGAAAAGTCTCATTTAAAAAAATATTTTTACCACAACGTAGGATTGGAAAGAAAGAGATGAGGGGAAGTCAGCCAAGGCAATAGTAAGGTAACAGTTCTGAAATCTTCTGTCAAAACTATAGTGATGTGAATTCCAACATTCTCCGGGGCTGAGCAAACTCAGTCATTTTAACGAGCAAATTCTGCTTCTGGAAGTCTTAATGAAGAGGAAGAGGACAGGACTGGGAGCCCGATCAAGGCTGAGGATTACTGTGCCTGTTAAACTTGAGAAGGGCAGGGCAGCAGACCTGCAAAGGGCAAGGCAAGCTGCGCCCAGGCACCCACACAGGCCTGAGGTTCACAGGTAGACTCAAATGCCCTCCGGGTTCTCTGGGGAGTCGGAAAAGGGGGCAGCCAGAGGCTACAGGGCACTGAGGAACACAGGGGGGGATAAGGGGGCTGGCATGGCATGAGACTGTGAACCGCACATTCAGAGACACTGTCGTCTAGTTCCATGCTTTCTCCTCCACCCTTGTTCTGTCAAGAGACTGGTGAACTAAAAAGCTCAGGCAGCCCTCCTGCTGGTGTGTCTGAGAAGATACTACAAGAAGGTGCAAAGGTGCGCCCACCCATACTCCAAGGGCAACATGACTGTGACTGCAGCCGTCCCACCCAGGAATGGCTTGCCAGGAATGAGCAACGGGTGGCCCTGGAGGTAGAAGGGGCAGCGCCTTTTCTTTACAGGTACGCACTGCCTCTTCCTACCTCCTGATACCGTGACAGGTTTTATGGGTTAAAAAGCCAATGACATCAAGCGCTATGGTGAAAAGAGAAATCTTCGGAGCTGTCAGCCTGCTAATGGTAGACTGACCATAAATAACATGGAGGTCCATTTGCAAATCTTTACTTTGACACTAATATATAATTATACCAATCATTTTTCTCTCTTCTACTGGTTTGCAAGTGATCGGAGAAGTGCACAGAAAGGTATTTCTTTGAATTACCACCTGGTTATTTTATTTCCTCTTTTGAGCCACTGTTGGTCCCTTGTATGCCTCTTATAGTGAGTATAGTGGAACACATCTGTCTTCCCTCTGGGAAGGAAACCCAAGCTCAAGCCCAGCCTGGGCAATTTAGCAGCTTTGTGTGACCAAGTAAGAAAATAAATCATAAAAAAACCTGGGATGTAGCTCTGTGAGAGGGGTTGGGTTCCATCCTCACTACCACCACCATCAAAAAGAAAAAGTGTCAAGGACACTCCATTTGTTCCAACGTTTTATAGGGAACCCTCAAACTCACAGCTGTGCCTTCAGTTTATGTGATGTCCTGGTTGTGTATAGATAAACCTGGAGGGGAAGGACTTGAGAGGGTCTTACTTCCCTATAACCAGGTAGAAAAAATGAATAACAGGCAGATTGAAGAGTGGGATCAAATTCCATTTCAAACAAGTTGTAAAGCACTTGTTTAAAAACTTTTCATGCAGTTTCCTCATTCCTCAAGACACACTTCAGAGTCCCCTGGAAGGAGCTGATAGGAAGGCACATCTTTCTCACCAAGGGATCTACCTCAACCAACACCAAAAAAGGGTACAAAGCCCAAGTGCTTCCAAGATCGCCTACCCAAGCCAGCCCCAGAACAGGAAAAGTTGGGCAGGTGGAAAGTGTCTGGCCAAGCTCACACCCCACCTCTTGGAACAGTTCTCCTTCCATTCTTCCAGCCCGGCCCCTCCCACACAAAGCGGGGTTCCCCAACACACCAAAGCCCAGAGATGGCCCTTCTCCTGCAGTCCCACCTCACATCTGGGAAAGTGAACGGCTTTGTGCTCTCCAAAACAAAGGCTCTTTATCAGGGCCTGTACACTGAGGGTAAGACCAGTGCAAAAATTTTACAAGTTCAGATTTGTAGAGATAGCTGAGTTTCGTGGGTGTGGCCCATGTAAATCAGGTCACTTAAAAACAAACTTTTAAGATCTGATTATCTTAGACAATAAAACGATCCAATCATGTAAAAGGCAGAATGTGAGCTCTATGAAGCGAAAATCTACCCACTAGTATGGGCCCTCTAAAAATTAAACTGGTGGTAGTAGCAATCATCACTTTCAATTTCTTTTCCTTTTTAAGCAACTTCCGGAGAAGGCGCCGTTTTAGGTAAAATCACAACAGGGGAAGTCTGCATCTCGGTGGATTTCGAACAAATGACACCTCTTTAAAAAAGAAAACAGCCAAGTGTCGCGAAGTCTGAGGGAGTCTCACCATCACTCGGCAATCAGGAAGCTGCTCTAGACAATTAAGCAGGGTTTCAAAATGACTGGAACAGGATGTGCCCATAGAAAGAAATGTTGCGCGCAGCGCTGGAACTGCCAAAGTTGCTGCGGCAAAGTCCCCTGAACTTTAAAAGGGTGGCTTGGGGTCACTCTGCCCTCCCACCTCCCAGTCTGGCCGTCTTACAAGCATGAGCGCCGCGGGGCTACTTGGCGGGAGGGAGGATGCGCGACTGGAGGGCACGGGTGGGGGCGGGGTGGGAGCCCGCCAGATCTCCGGGGCCAGGAAGGTGCCAGCAGGGGACAACGTGGTGGCGCTGAACTCGCCGTCCCCCCACACCGCCCCGAGAGACCCCCGGGGCTGCGGGACTGCGCTTCTGGGCGGCAGAGCGCGCAGGGGGGCGCCGGGCGGCGGAGGCCGGAACGCCCGAGGAGCCGGCGGGGCGCGGGCGCAGCGGAGGCGCCTACCTGTGCGGGCGCTCAGAGCCCCGGGCGGCGCCGGGGCGCGCAGGTGCTCGGGGGCGCCCCGGGGTTGGCCTGGAAGGGCGGGGCGCCCATCACGCCCCCGGCTCAGCTCTCGCGGCGTTCGGGCGGAGGGCAGCGCGCGGCGTCTCCCGCCTCTTCTCGTGGCGCGGCCCGGCGGTCCTTCGCGGTCGCAGCAACAGGCGCCGTGGCGCGGCCGGCAGCGCTGGGCCGAGGAGGAGGTGTCTGCGCGCTGCTCGCGTTTCCTCCTCCCCGATGGGCGAGCGCGGGGGGAGGCGAGGGGAGGGCAGGAACAGGGATCTCCCTCCTCGGTCCCCCGGGAACCGACAAGGGGACGCGGCCCCCTCCCCCACGCTCCGTGTGACTCTGCCCGGACCTGAGAGCCACAGGCGAGGCGCAGCTGCTGCAGTGCGGGTCCCCGCGGCCGCCCGCCCCTCCCCGCCCACCCGCCAGCCCATCCTCCGCGCCTCGGCCCGCGGCCACCGCAAGGGGTGGGGACGGTGCCTGGGCCGCCCCCCTGCCTTCCATCCCACAGGCCAGGGCCCAACGCACTCCTGGGGAACGGGGCCCTTGCGCGGGGTGGAGGCCCTAGCAGCAGGACGCGCGGTCGCACACCCTGTCCCTGGCGCCCTATTTATAGCAGGTGGCACTGCCCCCGCGGGTTCAGCTCAGCGGCTCTCAGCAGGTGGCACTGCCCGCCGCAGAAGCCTCTCCTCATCTGCACCCTCCTCCCCCAGCACCACTTGGAGAAGACTGCGCAAAACGCGAGGAGAGGACCAAGCCACCCCGCTGTCTACGGCACCCCCCTTCTTCCTGTCCCGGGCTTGGGTGATAGGGGGAGTGAACCTCAATGCAGATGTGAGCGAGATCGGACAATTGGGGACTTAGGGACACAGCTCAGGTGTAAGCGCTCTCTTGGGGATGAGACACCAGGAAACTACATTTCTGACCAATTGCAGTATTGGCGCAGAGCTTGAACTAGGCGCCTTTTCCCTCCCAGGATGGGTGAACACGCACCTTCACCCTCGCGCGGTCTGTTTGTCCCAGCTCAGGCCTCAAAGGTGTTATGGAGCATTCATGGACCATTGTGTTTGTTTTTTGGCACTGAAAATTGAACTCAGGACCTCCCGCTAGCGGAGCAAGCGCTGTGCCTCTGAGCTATATTTAAGCCCCCACAAGACACTCGTAAAAGGGTTGAGAAATCTAGCTCCCTGGGGCCAGAGAAGGGCTTAGTGCATGAATAGGCAAACCAGCCCAAATGCCAGCCCACCAGGGAAGTAGGGGCGGGGTCAGTAGAGGACACAACACTTATCTGCAGCCGGTGTGGGAGGAAGTGGTTAAGAGAACCCCAGATGGCATCTTTCTGGGGGCTTTGCTTAGAGTAGCTAGAGGTGGACTTTAGGGAAGTGGCTGAGTTTGAGCTGTGGGGTTCCAACATAGGGTTGTGTCGCCAGCGAGCTTGAGTCCTTGCTTTCAGTAGTAATGAAAATTAAAATGAAAGCACACTTTGACAAAAAAAAAAAAAAAAGTTAGAAAAGTGCTTTTTTGGAAAGTTAGGGGCAAGACAAGAAAGGTCTGCAGTCTAGGTACCTGGAGGGGCCAAATGCAGATCCCCAGGTTTCAGACTGGTTTCTCTGGAAATACCTACTTTCAAGGATTAACTGGTGGGCCGGTTGGGTAATCTTTATCTCTGTGTGGGGTCATAAGGATAGCAAGTTCTGGACAAAGACTGGAGAATTCTGGGGCATATATTTCTGAAAGTCATTCATTCTGGGGTCTCCGATATTGGGTGGTGACATTATGTAAATTCAGGGTTCACCTACTTTGTTGTGCCCACTGTTAGACCCTCCCTGATGATTACATGTCAAAGCGTGCAGACCTGAGAAGAGACTGGCCCAGGTTACACAGCAGCAAAGGATGTTCCCTAAGTGCTCAACTTAGCCATAGATGGAGCCGAGAAAAGATTTTGCAACAAAGGATACAAGATGAAAGTCAAACTTGGTTCTGCTTTTAGTTACCTACTGGGCATCTTTGGGTCCAGGTATCATGGTTCTTGGCAAAAATGGCTTTTAACTCCCTGGCTGTCCCAGAAAAGAACATGAATTATGTTTTTAATAAGCAACAGGTACAAGTTCAGGATTTTGTACAAACGCTATAGTTTCATTATTTATTTATTTATTTGGTGTTACTAGGGATCAAACTCAAGACCTTGCACTTGCCAGGCAAGCACTTATTCCACTGAGCTTTCTCCCCAGCTCCCATTCTCTATGGTGACCCCTGAGTGTGTTGCTGCTGAGCCTTGGACCTCATCACCACATTTAGAAATGTCTCATTCTCTTGGGCTAAAGTTTGAAACCATAGCTTTGGGTCGTACGTGTGGCTAATGGTGTCTTCGTTGCTTGTCAAGTAGAACCACTCCACCGCATCTGCCTGTCTCCAGCCTCCTGTGACTTCCTGCCTAACATTATGACTGCCATAATGTGTTGCAGGTGTTGTTTTTTTGTTTTTGTTTTTTTTGTCGCAACAAGAAAACTTGACATACACACTTTTCCAGGCCATGGCATCTATGCCTTGTGGTGGTTAGCTTATTCTTTGTTACAACACAGTTGTTTTACTTACAGAAAATCTTTTTAAATCAGGTGAGGAATGTTTAATGTATAATCAGGAAGGCTGTAATGACCAGAATAGGTTTTTGCTTGTTAGCCCAGGCTGGCCTCAAACTCATAGCAATCTTCCTGCCTCAGCCTCCCAAGTGCTGGGATTACAGGCACGGAGCACTCCCAGCATGACCAGAATGCTGACTGGGTTAGAGAAGTCTCTTTAGGTCCCAAGACTTGGTAGAAGTTAAACCAAATTGTCTCCTGGATCATATTGTAATTTATTTCATGTTTTTCCTTCCTTCGACTGAACAGTGGTACAGTTCTCTCTCCTTCCCTGGGGTGGCCTGAGAATATAGCTGCATCCAGCATGCTCAGATGTCACGACAGGTTATACTGTCGTCCACGGCAAGGATGTGCCAGATGCCTCTCACACACAATGTGACAGATGGGGACTGATGCTCCTGCTTGGCATCCCTGCCTGCAGCCTCTACCCTGGGGGGGGGGGCAGACCAAGGGAGACAGCTGACTCCCTGACCAGAGCTTGCTCCCACCCCAGGCTCCTGCTTCCCTCTTCCTCCTTTCCACCTGGTGCAGAGTGCAGGTGGCTAGGGGCTGGGGAGGTTAGCCCAGCCGGTGCCCAAGCTGGCAGCAGAGGTAGGGAGTGGAGGAGAGGGTGGGGCCAGCAGCAGGCCTGGGCCCCATTTCTCTCATAATGCTGAACTGGTGGAGGAAACATTTCTTCCCTGGGTTCCACTACTGAATTTTAGCAAGTTCCACTTCAGAGATTTATAGCTTGGTGAGAAACAATGGATTGGCCCATCTCCAACCTGGATAGGCAAGGCCGTGGCCCCATGAGAAGCAGCAGTTTCTCCACCACCTTTCCAGTGCTCAGGGGTTGAAAATACCCCAGAAATGACAGCGAGACATTCTGCAGTACTTTCGGCCACTTGGAAATAGAACTTCCTGTAGAATTCTGAACTTTTTTGGCTGTGCAGCATTACTCTGGAAAGTAGAAGACAGCCTGCTTGGTTGCCCTTAGCTTTCGAGCAGTTCTTTCTAGCAGTTATTTCTTCACCAGAAATAGTGTAGAGATGTGGAAATGGATGGCAATGGCAGGTGAAGACTGAACGAGGGAGGGGAGACCCACAATGTCCAAGTGAAGAGTAGGGTGTGTGAGATAACCACTGACCTTCCCTAGGAGGGAAGCGGCTCCTGCTTTGTGGTGTGGGGACATGTGACCCTCAGCAGAGCTCATACACCCCCTGGGGAAAGGCGTGGGGCTGTGGGGTCTCCATGATGGCCACAAAGAGCTCTTTCTGGACCTAGGAATGATTTGACTGGTCAATCCTTAAGTCAAACTAAGTAAGGAAAAGAGCCAAATGCTCATGATGTTGCTTCCCCTGACTCCTGCCCAGCTGACCAGGAGCACGGTGGCAGTCCCAGCGGCTGCTGCACGGTCCCTCGGGAACACCTCCGCACCTCTGGCACCTCCGAAAATCCAACCACGCACCATTCTCTTGTTCCCTTAAGGCTTCCCTGATGGAGTGGTTTCTAATCTAGTCATCTGCAGCATAGTTACTTATATATTGACCAAGGCCACCAACTTTGATACCCTCTTTTTTTTTTTTTTTTTTTGCAGAACCGGGGATTGAACTCAGGCCCTTGCGCTTGCCGGGAAAGCGCTTATTCCACTGAGCCATCTCCCCAGCCCCGATACCCTCTTTAAGATAGCTACAGAGCTCTAGAAAACAAAGAACAATTGATGTCATGAATCCAGTGGGAAACAGGGTGAAAGGAAAGAGGCCATTTGACTTTTAAGGTGGTAAAAGAACCCTTTATACATCTAGAATTAAGGCTTTGGTTAACCTGCAAGAGAGATTTTAATAAATTTATTCCTTAAATGTTCTTTCGAGTGAGCAATCCAAACTCAAATTATTGCCACAATATATTTTGTTTAATTTCAAAATACTCATGTAGGACTGGGGAGATAGCTCTGCGGTCTAAGTGCCTGCCTGGCAAATGAAGGGCCCAAGTTCAATCCCTGGCACCATGTGCCAGCCCCAGAACCCCAGGTGCTCTGTGGCAGCCCTGAAACCCGGTGTAATCTCAGTGGTGTAATCCCAGAGCTGGAGAGGCTGAGACAGGAAGATCACTATAAGTCTGAGCTGTGTAGTGAGACCCTGTATCAAATAAGTAAATAAATAAATATTCATTGTAAAGTAAGAGGTTGCTTTTATTTTATCTTGAGACAGGGTCTAAGTTACCAAGGCTGACCTTGAACTTGTGGTCCTCCTGCCTCTACCTCTCAAGTAGCTGGGATCACAAGCACACACCACAGAGCCTAGCACCACTTCCTAATCAGTGAGTCCATTTCTAAAATTGCTATCAATAAGGACAAAGGTCCATATCTCACCAGACAGAGCCCTGGGCTAGCGAAGTCACTCACTGGGTGCACTTGCTGTCTGTGGCTGGCAGTGACTTTCTGGACCCCGAGGTGGGAAGGGTGCAGGAAACAAGTCTGTGCTCAGTGGAGAGGGTGCGAGGCTGAGAAGTGGTGTGTCTCTCGCCCTACCCCCGCCCGCCCCACCCGCAGAAGAGGCAGCACTGAGTACCAGTGCTGAGTAATTTTTCAAGCCTGCAAGTCCCAGGCATAGCTACTTGCCTCAGAGAAGCCCGTTACATCCAAGCATCTTATCTGTAAGAAGCATTCTCGGCTGACCATGGTGGCTCATGCCTATAATTCCAGCTCTTCAGAAGGCTGAAGCAGGAGAATTGCGAATCTGAGGCAAGCCTGGGCCACTTAACAAGTCCTACC